AATAAGTCTGGAGCAGTTGCTACGTCATGCTCACTAGGCCCAATCAGCATAATGTCATCAATTGTAATGGACCAGGGTAGTGTCTTGTGGAAGGGAAAGGTGATTAAGATCCCGGCAAACTAAATTGTGACATAGGGCTGGAGAGTTGATATACCCCCGAGGTAGTGCAGTGAAGGTGTATTGCTGGCCTTGCCATATGAAAGCAAACTGCTTCTGGTGGACCTTGTGGACAGGGATGGAGAGAAAGGCACCTGCCAGATGAATAGCTGCATACCAAATACCTGGGGATGCATTAATTTGCTCAAGAAATGAAACCACATCTTGTACAACAGCTACAATTGGAGTCACCACTTGGTTAAGCTTATGATAATCCACTGTCATTCTCTAGGATCCCTCTGTGTCCTGCACAAATAGGAGAGCTGGATGCAAATGTGGTGAGAATCAGCACCCCTGCCTCTTTCAAGTCGGTGATGGTAGCACTAGCCTCTGCAAGCCCTCCAGGGATGCGGTATTGTTTTTGATTTACTATTTTCCTAGGTAGAGGCAGCTCTAATGGCTTCCATTTGGCCTTTCCCACCATAAAAGTCCTCACTCCACAGATCAGGGAACCAATGTGGGGATTCTGCCAACTGCCAACTGCCAATCTTACGATGAAGGCTTGTGTTTGATTTTTGGCAATTTCAGCCCTGCGGGTGCTGGGGAGAAGATTCTGACCCAGAGCACACGGAGACACTTTAGCTCATCTACGTGGAGCTCGAGCCAGGAATTCAAATCCCCGAGCTCCTCCTTTTCTTTCCTCACTTTATCCAGCAATGCCAGGAGCAAACAGCCAACGTCATTATCGTCCTTGGATGTTCATAAATACCCAAGGGTTTCATGTATAGAGTCACTAAGTCCCTTGCCTCTTGTACGTGGTGAATCAGGAGTGTCAAGTGCATTTATTTTGCATATCTCTACAAACGGTTCACACCATCGACTATCAGTGCTATCTGGATTATTAGAAGTCAAGAGGATAGCATTTTTAGGTCTAAAGCCCTGAAACCAATTTTTAAAGTTTCCCTTTGAGATTCTGTTTCTCTAGAACCACTCCTGGTACCAAAATCTGTATTAGTCAGGGTTCTCCAGAGGGACAGAACCAAAGCATAAAAGGAGACTTATTAGGGGAATTGGCTCATGTGACTATGAAGGCTGAGTTGTCCCATAGGCCGTCTGCAAACTGGATGCTGGTAGCGTGGCTCAGTCCAAATCTAGGAGCTTCAGGACCAGGGAAGCTGATGGTGTGATTCTCTGTCTGAGTCCAAAGGCCTGGGAGCCAGAGTTGCCGCTCGTGTGAAGTCCTGGAACCCAGAGGCTGAAAAGTCTCAAGTTTGGATGTCCTTGGACAGGAGAGAAGAGTGGACCCCAGCTCCAGCGGAAATAGAGAGTGAGATTTGCCTTTTCCTCTGTTTTTGTTCTCTCTGGGCCCCCAGCAGATTGGAAGGGTGTCTGCCCACATTGAGGGAGGATCTTTCCCCACCTGGTCCACTCAGGTTCACATGCTAATCACCTCTGGAATCACCCTCAAAGGCACACCCAAAAATAAATACAAATTTCCATGTACTCTCTCATCTAGTCAAGTTGACACCTAAAATTAATGTCACAAAGGCCACCTGTATTTCAAGATTTTGTCCCTCTCTAAGTGATCTGTTTTCTCTTTGGCTTCCTTAAGGAACTTCACTGTACATCCGCGTTCTCTCAGTTATTCCTCCTGAAACTGTGATTAGACACGGTAGATTTTCTGAGTCGGCCTCCACGTCCCTTCACCTCCCCCGTACACACGTACGTCCCATCGCTCTTCTCAGCACTGTCCGAGTATTTCAGGTAACTCCATGTCATTGATCCGGCTCCCTGGCTCAGCCTCCTCTACTCCTCACTCCACCCACTGAATATTTGTTTTCATTTATTACATTATTCTCCTTCAAATATTCTTGATTCATCTTTATGGTCTCCTATCCCTTACCCATAATTTAAAACTTCTTTTTATACTGTCATCAGACTTCTTGTATTTTCCATGT